GCATTCCTGAGATAAACCCCACTTGATCATGGTGTATGATCCTTTTAAAGTGCTGTTGGATTCTGTTTGCTAGTATTTTGTTGAGGATTTTTGCATGTACGTTCATCAGTGATACTGGTCTGTAGTTTTCTTTTTTATTTTTTGCATTACGCGGGCCTCCCACTGCTGTGGCCTCTCCCGTTGCAGAGCACAGGCTCCAGATGCGCAGGCTCACCGGCCATGACTCACGGGCCCAGCCACTCCGCGGCATGTGGGATCTTCCCAGACCGGGGCACGAACCCGTGTCCCCTGCATCGGCAGGCGGACTCTCAACCACTGCGCCACCAGGGAAGCCCTGTAGTTTTCTTTTTTTGTAACATCTTTCTCTGGTTTTGGTGTCAGGGTGATGGTGGCCTCGTAGAATGAGTTTGGGAGTGTTTCTCCCTCTGCTATATTTTGGAAGAGTTTGAGAAGGCTAGGTGTTAGCTCTTCTCTAAATTTTTGATAGAATTTGCCTGTGACGCCATCTGGTCCCGGGCTTTTGTCTGCTGGAAGATTTTTAATCACAGTTTCAATTTCAGTGCTTGTGATTGGCCTGTTCATATTTTCTATTTCTTCCTGGGTCAGTCTCAGAAGGTTGTGCTTTTCTAAGAATTTGTTCATTTCTTCCAGGTTGTCCATTTTATTGTCATACGGTTGCTTGTAGTAATCCCTCATGATTCTTTGTATTTCTGCAGGGTCAGTTGTTACTTCCCCTTTTTCATTTATAATTCTGTTGATTTGAGTCTTATCACTTTTTTTCTTGATGAATCTAACTAGTGGTTTATCAGTTTTGTTTATCTTCTCAAAGAACCAGCTTTTAGTTTTACTGATTCCTTGAGGATGCTTGAGAAGACCCAAGAATTTGCATTTAAAACAAGCATTCTAGGAATATGATAGATATATAATTAAAGGGTTGGAAATAGGGTCTGCAGGTAAGAGCCAAGAATGTGACTTATTTAGAAAAATAGAGACAGGATTTCATTTTTTTCAAGTACTGTATACAAAGATTATAGATAATAAAGGAACAATTCTCTATTTCCACACACTGAACAACTTCGAATTGCAACAGGAGACATTTAGTGCAATATAGACTGAAATATACCTGTTTCTGAAATGCCCTAATTAGCAGCATTTCAGAGTCTCTTCTTCTGTCCTGTTGTTTAGACATGGCAATACACTAGCAAGGATAGGTAAGCTTTCAGCAGCAGTCATGAGTAGGGCACACAAGACCAGGAAAATCATTGCAGATCATAACCCACCATAGGAATTCCAAAGAGAGAGAAAACTGGTATAGGGCCAGCGTGTTCCCAGGTACCCATAACTCATTGACAACCAACAGTGGACACAGAAAGGGACCAGAGTCATGGCTATGCCACTACCTGCCCTCTGCTCAGGCTGAGCCTCTTCTGTACCCAGGCCTGAATGTACATAAATATGTGATGTAAGCAGTGTTTGCTTTGGTTGCCACCTTGGTAACCTGGTGTCCTCAAGTCATGGGTTTTCGAGTCACACTAACAGAAGTTCAGAGTCTAGTTTACTAGCTTTTGTGATCTTCAACAAATTGCTTAACCTCTGCAAGTCTCAGTTCCCTCATCTGTAAGGTTAGAAAAATATAGTCAACCCCACAGGGTGTCATGAGGGGGAATTAAAGTATGTAAAACCCCACAGGGTGTCATGAGGGGGAATTAAAGTATGTAAAACAGAGGCCCAACATACACTCAACAAATTATAATTTTTTGTCATTTCTATTGTTGCTGTTGCACTATTGAAATCATTGATATTACTATTGTTATTATCATCATCATTATTCCAATGGATCCTGAAATTCTTAGACTCCAATGAGTTCAGGAATTCCAGGCCAGGGACCACTGCTTGAGCCCACTGTCACTTTTTCTCTTTCATATCTAAGAAATCCCTAAAATCTTCTAACTTAACTCCAATAAGTGAATTCATCATTAAGTGTTATCCTCTTTGTCACCAACCCAATCATCTTCACCAATTTTATGAATATCTTTAAAAGAGTGACTTCTATGTCTTAAATTGAAACCATAATCCTAATGATGGAAATTTCAGTCATTGCAACAGATTTGAGGTCAGAATTTGGGGGTTAGGAGGATGTATCAGTTATTCTTCACTCACAGCAGTTTGTAAGAGACCACCTAAGAATAAGCAGAATCAGTTCTTCCAGTATCTCCAACTTTATTTAGTGCTGGGATAAGAGAGGGTGAAGGTTGAGACTGGAACAGAGAGTTTGGCTACTGATAACATCTGATTGTGAACTTCCAGTTTCAACACGCCTTTTATCCTTCCACCCGTGTCTACCTTCCAGAAAAACTGCATACTTCTCACAGCTTGGAAAAGCCACATCTCTCTTCCCTCCTAGAGAAATCTCAATCATTCTGCAAAGATCAACTCAGAAGTTCCCCTCTTTTAAAACTTCCCTGATAACACAAAGTTGAAGGTAATCACTCATAGAACTAAAGAGTTGGAAGAAATCTTCTTTAATTTTATGGCTTGAATAAATTCCATGTTTTAAAGATGTAGTCAAAGGGCTTTTAGTAGGAAAAAACTGTCTGATTTCAACTCTCAGCATTCTACTTAGAATTATGAATTGTTTTTTTCAATGTTTCAACTGTTTTTTCATCTGCACATACTTGCCTCGGGACCTGCTTTCACAGGAAACCAAGAAAAGCCAGTTCATAAAATTCATGCTTTTGAGAGTGTAAGGAAATGATCAGACTTATATACTGTGTGGTAAGAACACACATTCTTACAGACCTTTTTAGGGTAATTAAATAGACTATCAATATTTTTAAAATGCATACCCTGTGAACAAGGCATTCTTCTAAGACTCTCTCTTATAGTAATCCACATAGGAGCACAAAGAAAGAAATATGAGGATGCTCTCTGTAGAATACTATATAATAGAGAAATGTTGGAAATATCTGTCAATATATCTGTCAAAATATCTGTTAATAGGAGAATGATTAAGTAAATTACAGTATAAGCATTCTATGAAACACTGTGAAGCTATTTTAAAAGCATGAGTTTGATCTATATTTACTGGTAAGGAAAGATGTTTATGATATACCAATAAGCAAAAAAAATTAAATTAAAAAAGCATGGGTATTGTGTTCTATATGTTATTTTCCTCTCTCTTTCTGGAAATACACACACACACACACACACACACACACAGACACAGACACACACACATCAAACTATTAGCATGGTTACCACTGGGGAGGCAGATGGCTTAGGGGTAGAAGTGTTAGAGATGGTACAGAAAGGGTTATAAAGGGGAATGCCTCTCTTTTTTTTTTATAAGTGCATATTAACTTTAAAATTGAAAAAGAAAATAAAAGTAATGCATTTGGAAATTAACATCTGAAACATTCTTCACCATTTTAATTTTTCTTAAACTTCACAATCAACATTGGCAGCAAAAAAACTCAGGGGATTTTAGCTGTACATTCTCCTTCTGTCTCACATATATCAGTGTAAAAATGTGTTGTAACCAAATTTAAGCATATAAGTAACCTAAAAAGTAATTAATAAGGGAAATTATCTGTTGACACTATTGTCCTGTATACAGTTGCTCGCTCTTTTAAGATGAGAAAATCCACACAAACAAAATATATTTCAAACACTCATTATATTTTTCAGAAGCAAAATAAGGAAAACCACCATTACAAGGGTAAACAGGAAATTAAAACCAACTATAAATGTATACTTAAACCTCCTGCATTTTCTTGTTTCTTTATTCAGGAAATTAAATGATACTGAATGACAAAGTATCTGCAATCTCTCAAGTGTTTAAGAGGAAGTACAGCATTCACTTAGGAGAAAACTATAGCAAACGACGCTATTGTCAGGAGGATTTAAGAGATTTGAAAAAAAAATGCTGTGAAAGACTACCCCCAAAAGCCAACCCATCGTGGCCCATGTGTTTTTGTCTCCAGAATTTGCTTTCCATAGAATTCTATGAGTGCAGGTGAGTTTCAGAGAGAACCTACTGGCTAGTTACAGTGAATCCCATAATGCAATGAGAAAGGCATGGGGTGGTGGTGAGAAACATGGCCCCTGCTTGGCTGTGTGAGTATGAGCAAAGAATACTAAGCCTTGACTTTCTGTAAACTAGGAATAAATATATAAAATGACAAGGTCGCTCTGAGGATTAACAGAAAAGATGTGCACCAAAGCACTTAATCTAGCTAACGCTACTCAGGTATTGATTTTTGTCATTATTCCGTTTCTATTTTTAAAAACTCCTGTGCTGGGATGAATAATAGTAAGATGATCAAAAGATGTAAAAGATTTCAATAATACATCATTTTTGTAAAACTACTCCTATTGACCTACAACTTGATCAATGTGACTGGCAGATATCTATGGAAACTTAAGAGGAATATATAGGCTGATATCGACAAGCAGCAGCAAATAATTTCTATTAAAACTGCTTGGTTAATGATACAGGGTCCATTCATTTGGCTAATGTTTACTGAATATGAACTATGCTTCACACACTGTGTTAGATGCTGTGGACAGACAGTATTGTGTAAAACAGGGCTCCTACCCTAACAACTTAGAATCTACTGCAGATGAAAGGTATTGAAAAAAATACATAATTCGAAGTATGCAGTAGTTTATTTAGGAGATGATCCCAGAAATCACTGTGAGAAAATGGGGAAGTGAGACAGGGAAGGGAGAAAAACCAATAAAGAGTACACTGACTAGCCAGTTACCTCTATGGTAGAATGGTCAACTATCCCAGTTTACCAGGATTGAGGGGCTTCCCAGGACACAGGACTTTCTATGCTAAAACTGGGACAGTTCCAAGAAATCTGGGACCAGTTGATCACCCTAATCTACGAACAGCTGGGTCTCAATCATTCTGGAGGCCTTCTGAGAGGCTGCATGGAACACAACTTAGAATTATCTCAATGAAAGGCAAGGAAGTAGAGTATTTATCCACCAACCTCAATGGCTGAGAATCACTCCAAGGCATTATTTTTCAGTTGCTCCCGATCTGACCTGTGCAGGGGCAGGGCATGCTCCTGTGCCCAGAGAATGCCCCCTGAAAGAAAGACACATGTCTATGAAGTGTCTGCAGGCAAACTCTGGGGTCAGCCAAGGGGACATGGGCAGGGCATCAACACTATCTGATACATGATTATTTTTTCCCAATTTGATGGGCAAAAGAATGAGCTCAATGTTGTTTTCACTGGGATTCCCTATTTAGTGGGGAGTTTAGAACTAACTTCATATTTGCATTCCTTTTTGAGCATTTAAAGACAGGTTAAGGGTAGTTTATTTTCTCAGCCTCAGACAACTGCCCCCGTAATAGAAAACAATAAAAAAATTTCACTGAATTTATCTAGAATATGTGTGTATCGGGGTGGGGACAGAGGTGGGGAGCAGAGCAAACTCTTTCATGTGAACTGAAGGTGAGAACTGACAACGTAGTCTTAGTGTTCCCAGTGCCATGATCCTTGCTACACTTCCCTTTACCTTTAAAGGAGAATTGAGATCCCTGAGTTTTATATATCACATGTTTTAGGTTCCCAATGAGTTGACTGATGGTCATGATTCATACTTGTTCGTCTTCCAAGGCTCTTCTCCCATACTCATTTCCTCCCAGGTGTATTTTCAGATCACTCCTAATTCCCTGTAAGCCTGAAACCTGTAAGCCTGGGTGTGCCCTGCCTCCTTTCACTTCTGCTGTGACCATAGCAGTCCATTTCTATTTTCTTCAAGCCTCACTCACTGCAGCCTATTTTGAATTATATTCTAGCTGACTACTGGGGAAATCAGGGATGTTTAATGGAGCTCTGGGAGCAGTCATTACTGAAACCCAACATACTCAAATCTCTTGTGTAATTCAAAACCCATGATATGCTTAGCCTAAAAGCTACAGTCGTGGGGCCTCACTGTATCATAATAAGAACATGAACTTTGCACACTCAGAAGATAACTAAATCATAAATTTAAACTGTAGATTCTGTCACTTCACTGATTAAGCTCTCAAACATTTCCCCAACTACCTAAGACCTGTCATTATTAATCCTACCTGGTTTTACACATTCCATCTCACATTTCTCAGCACATATGTTATGGCTTTTTACCAAGCTTATCCTCCAATCATGATTATAGACAGTATCTTAGACAGTATCTTTTGATGGTTTTATTACCGAGCAGGAAGCAATCTGTATAATTCTGTCACATAAACTAATTGCTTAGACTTTTCTTGCTAACCTTTCATTTCAAAACTTGTCCCTTGGTTTCAAAGAATAAACCAGCCCTTATCTTACAAATACAGCAACTGAGATTTCAAGATGTTAAGTGACTTACCTGAGGTCACCCAACTCGCAGCCAAGGCCAGAAGTCCTCTTCCTAGGCTACCATCCATCTTCTCTTCTTGCTTCTCTGGAAAGAAAAGAACATCTCAGGCAGTCATCTTGCCATCCATGTGCCTGGCTTAGACCTCAGTGCTTTAAGACTCTGTCACCACCATTACCCACCCTTCAGTCATTCCATTTCAGAGAAGTTAATCCTAGCTTCTTTGTAAGTGCCCCGCAGGGCATGGGCCTCCATATGTGTGACATGAATGCCAGTAGCACTTACAGTCTCTTCCAGACATTTGGTACTTGCTGTGTCCTATGTGGATAGCTATTCACCTCTTTATAAATAATGCATCTGTCTGCACAACTCAAATTCAAGGCTCCTGAGGACACAAATCATATTTATATATTTCTTTTCATTTTCCATCATGCCTAAATACCTGTCACTATGCATATGGAGATGTTTCACAAAATTTAATAAGGATGATAACTTCATGGGCAGAATCAGTTTTCTTAAATGATGTTCTGGGGCCCAAAATTATATATATATATATGCATAATTCATATGTATATACTATAAATAATAATATACATTCATTGTACACATAAGAGCTTTAATTTTTTTATTCTTGAGATTAAAATTAATTACATTTAATATTGAAAAACTAATAAGAGATATTGGCTTCCAAATACAGTGCTGCCTGTGCAGAAACCGGAGCAGATCCCACACAAGTGCTCTATTATAATAAGGCAATGGAGTTGTTCTTCTTTTTGTTATGCTTTTGTCTTTGTGTTTGTTACAAGCAATCACATTACAGAACTGAAGAGATAAATTTGCATTTACAGAGCTGACAATTTTAGTAGACTCCTGATGTGAAATGCTTTATTCGATTTACTTCCCCAGAGGTGACAGAGACCCTGAAGCTGAAGTCGCATTCTAAAACATTCAGGAAACTGATGAAACCCAAAGGCGACTTTGTTCTAGAGTTAAAGGTCAGAGGAATACTAGACACAGAAGGACCTTTCTATGGGTCAGTGAACAACAGGGCCAGAGAAAAGCAACTCACGTGTTTAATCTTGCCACTGCTATGGCAAGGTGGTAGGAATTTGAAATTCTGCCTGCATTTCTTCCGGAAGGTACATGTGGAGACTTTTAAAGTGAGTAGTGAAGAAAAGGTTAAGATATAAGACTTAAAGTAGAAGATGTAAAGAAAAGGAAAAAAGAATGGGAGGCTTTAGCTAAACAAAGATTAGAGGTGGTTTTGATCTTCAGGTATTTAAAGGTAAGCCGTGGTTTTACATTTTTACCAAAGTAAGACAAGTGTGAATAGCCACAGGGAAATTAGGCATTTTGTAGGCAAAGGAGAAAGCATGTAATTATGAGAAGAAAATGTATTGCTAAGTTCACAAGGTACTTTAAATGCTCCAAACTGGGATTTATGCAAAGCAAGGAGTTTGAGCTGCCATGTGGTAGACTGGTGCAATGAGAATAGAAGTTGGCATGTCTGGGTATGCACAAAATTGTCAAAGTGACAATCTTAGCTTGGATTTTTGACCCAAGTCTTCTACCTCCCTAAAGAAGGTTAATAGTAAGAGCCCAGTGTTTCAGAGGCCGTGGAGTGGGTGGTATCTGGGGAAAACAGCTGCTGGCTTGACACTGGGGGTAACCTACTCAGCATGCCTGAAGCCATCAAAGTGTCTGTCAATCAAAGTCTAGACATTTGGGGCTTTCACGACTTAAAATTATCAGTTTGAAAGTAGCCAACAAAAATTAATGAATTTAATAAACTATGCCCAACTATAAAACATATGACAACACAGAAGGATATGGACACTAACACTGATACCCATTCCATCAGATAACCATTCCATCTGTTCAGAAGCAGAGCCAGAAAGAATGAGGACCAGAAACTGTCACAGAAACCACTGATCTACATGGTTCTGTGGTGCTGGAGAGAAAGCAAAATAGAGAAGTTCACATTTGTGAAGACTGGAAACACACGTACATACACATACAGTTAATGAGGTAGTGTAAAGTGAGGAAATCTGGCTTTCCTACTTGGATAGTTGACACGGTTTGGCATAATCCCATGGAAGAAGAAAGTGTCAAACTTTTCCTTATGTAAGATGGTTTTAGAAAAAGATATTGTCTGGGGTATAATCTGCCTTTCTCTACAAGGAAGACCTCAGGACACCAAGGTCAACATGAGACTCTGCATGGAAAATACTTTGGTATTCTGCTTCAAATTCTTTTTGGAAGTGGGTAGAGTATAAAGCATAATTTATTTTTTTAATAATATGGAATTTAAAGGTTAAGCATGGTACAATGGCAAGGAAATGTATTTAATTCTGTCTTCACACCTGGACTTGAAAAAGAACAGTAGCTGTTCCGAACATTTGTCCTTCTCAGAACTAGACATCAAGTTCTAAAGGCCAAAAAGCTGTCACTGATGTCAGACCCCAAAAAGAACCCAGTAGGCTGGACTTCAGCAAGCTAAACTATGTTTACATTCTTAGATCAAGTTTATTCTGAGTTAACTCCTTCATTTTATAATAAGTTACCAAATGCATTTTATCACGAGTTATCCCATGCGGCTACCGGTCAGACCAGGGACAGCACTGCGATAAGAAAAACTTTCTCTTTTTCACCTCTCTGTGATTCAAGGAAATGCGATCCTAAAATATGACAGGACAGTACACTGACAAAGGGTCAACTTTTGAACCTCATGCTTTGGGGAGTCAGAATTCACTGATTAGAACACAAACGCCCTTGTCACATCTATCACCTTAGGCCTTATCAGCAGACAACAAAGCTGCCTTGTGGGCTTCCCTGGTGGCGCAGTGGTTGGGCGTCCACCTGCCGATGCAAGGGACACGGGTTCGTGCCCCGGTCCGGGAGGATCCCACGTGCCGCAGAGCGGCTGGGCCCGTGAGCCATGGCCGCTGAGCCTGTGCATCCAGAGCCTGTGCTCCGCAACGGGAGAGGCCACAGCAGTGGGAGGCCCGCGTACTGCAAAAAAGCTGCCTTGTATCTGTACACAGACGGCCTTTTAATCAAGCCTTCAGTATAACTCATATACATTTTTATAATTTCCTTGCTGGAAACGTTATCTGAAAAATTTGAAAATAACTGGGGTATAACATAGAAGACTTGTTTAACCTTATAAAGTTGAATCATTATAAACATTGAATTTTAGGAAGAATTAATGATCAAGCATATATAAAATACTAAATTTAAGTAAACTTCATATTGGCCAACACGACGATGTACTGTATGAAAGTAATGTTTAATGTTCCCAAATGTTTTAAGTGTTTGATATAATTTGTAAAAAAACAAAAGTTTTTTTTTATTTTATTTTAAAACAAAAGCTTTATTTAAAATAAAGCTTATATTCTTGGCCACCAGCAGACAGCAAAACTCTTGTGGGACTTGGGGTCCAAGTTTAGTACAGAGGTGGTGGTTTGGGACAGTGGGAAGTGGAGACCAAAAGAAGCCAAAAGACAATCAAGGGCAATATTTGCCCCTTAACACTCAACCTAACTCAAAGTTAAGACCTTGCAAGTATAAATTCCAAAGAAAATGAACAATCAGAGATACAATCAGACTACCTGGAGAAAGATAGGTACTGACGTCAGGATCCTGGAAAAAGCAGGGAGTGAGATATTCATAAACAAAGGAAATCTGGCCCAGGAAAGAGCAGAGGAGACACCAAGAGGCAAAGTGACCAACAGAAACAAGGGAAGATCACTGATTCAGGTGGTAGGGCAGGGGGTGTTTTTAGTGAGCAGGCCGCAAGTGGCCATGTCTCTTCTATGCCTTGACCCAAGCTTGCTGTTAATTGCTCAGCCAGCCTCTTTCTCCACTGGGTTTCAACAATCTCAGTGACATCCTGGGTTCTTCTCTCCTTGGCACCAGTATAGCCAGAATAAAGCACCTAATTCTTGCCTGTCATCTAGCATGTGCTCGAAAACTATTAATTGGTTTCCTTCCTCCTCTTAACCACAAAATAAGAATGCAGGTTCAGATGCATTTTCCAATTAAGAATTAGAATGAACACATACATACTAAAATCCCCAAAATATTTTTGAACAGTGGAGAGGGTAGGGCTATATCTGAAAAGTTTTACAGACACCTTTGAGGGCTGAGCTCTTAAAACCACCTTGTCAATGAATCTTGAAGAATCAGAAGTTTCAGTAAAACTCCCTTGTGATGCTAACATGCTTCTGATTAGTCTCCAAACCACTGACACCCCGGAGAATGAACTCGAGCTCTCCAGAGCCTTCCTCCCACAACCAAAGAACTTTAATTGTTCGTCTTTGAGGTGACTCGTGGCCACCATTCCACTAGAAAGCTCCTTTTCAAATCTCTGCAGCGTGCTACCGTGTCAAATTCTGAAATGCTGCATGTGCTAAAATAAGTCAGAGATGGCTGGCCAGATGAGGAAAAAATACTGTGGGCAGGCAACCAGAGAAGAGGTTGGCAAGAAAGCATGTCAGAGGGGATTTCCAGTCTCCACACTGAAGAATAGTGATACTTATTACAAATAATTCAACAGTGAGTGAGGAGAATCCACTAGTGGCAGAAACCGTATTATTTTTGAAGGAAAAGGAACTTAAGGACTGTAAAGAACAAATATCAAGAAATTTCCCTATAATTATCAATTCTGCCATGAAGAAACAAGGGGAAAAAAAGCTGCTTCACGGCAAACAACAAAACTCCTCTCCAGTCAAGGTCCTACCACAGATGTTTTTCGGGTCTCTGAAGAAGAGTTTCCAGTAGTTTCGATCTCCACTGCGCTATAAAGCATTTTTCCAAGGTTTGTACTATCTCTGTTTATAATATCTGATAATCATGGAACACACTTCATTTTCAGACAATGGAAGGACTCTTCACAAGGATATGAATTTGTTTGATCCCAGACAAGCTACAAAAGGTACAGGCTCAAACGAATGTTCAAAGTTCTCCAAACATACACACACACACACACACACACACACACACACACAACAACAACAATATAGACAGGAACCAAAGATCAGTTTCCTCAGTTTTGAGTTGTTGCTTCATCATGAAGACTTCCCGTCACCCTGTATCTCTGCACCATAGAGAAAAGGAAAAGATGTGTATGAGATCCTAGTTTTACCACTACATCAGGTCCTTTCTTTGTGTGAAAACGTCAAGAGTTTCTCATCGCCCACAGAAAATTTACTACCAAGCCTACAACCCTATGTGGCTTTTTAAAGAACAAGGAAGTGCTGGTGCCTTCCCCCATGCTCCCACCACAGGCCACACGCTCAGGCTGCCCACGTGGGCCACGGAACCTTCTGGGTGCTAACAGTCCTGACCACCAGAGGAAATGTGCAGAGAGGCTCCCAGCCCCTAGCCATCGAAAGAGAAAACAAATACCCCCAAAGGGCACACAGAGAAAGCAACTGCTCTGGCAGGATGTGGTCTAGGGTGGCAAGAAAAGGAAATACAGTTACCAAACCAGACCCAGGGCAGCAGAAGGGCCTGGAATTGTCCTTCAGCTGGTGATCCCCTGTAGGGCTATCACCTTGCTGACCTCATAACTCAACAAAATATAGCAGACGCATTGTCCTAGTAAATGGGGAAATACAACTCTTTGACAGGCCTTCCATCTCCATAAAGTTTTGGTGTATTTAAATAATATTTACATCCTGTATGTTTACCACACGTTTTGTGTATTGTAAACAACTGCATTTTCTCCCCAAAACTCTGTAACGCAAGCCAAGAAAATCGTCCAAAAGTTAGTTCCATTGGAAAAAATACTAAGATTGTTCTCTCTCCTACACAGTCACATGTAGAAGGCAGCCTTTTGGATGGTTACAGCTCTCTGATTTCTAATCTCCAGGTCACAAAATTAGCCTAAACAAAGGCATCTTCAGAAAACTTGACCTTATTTCTTTAGAGCAAATCAGAACAGCATGCTAGCAATATTCCCAAGAATAGAATATGGCAGACAGGAGGAAAACCAGGCCCTGAACTGACATTATCTTGGCTTGTGTATTCTTTAGCTACCTGTCTCTATCCAGTGAGGGGCAGCGCTGATTTTTCTTTCCAATGAATGAAGAAAAGAGACTGGAGTATCTTCCAAACTGTATGACGTAAGATGTCACTAAGTATTATGGGAATGTACTTTAGGACTTCCCTCCCTGACAGCTGGGGTCAGAGTGAGCCTGCAGATCTCCTAGCTCCTATCTGAGGTATTGTAGGAGGCAGACAGGCTGCTTTGGGGCTGAATCACTTTCTGAAGGAGGTACTCAGTGTACTTCAGCCAATCCCTCATAGCTCTGCCTGGTCTGAGTGGGTCTTCTCCTTTTCTAGACACCTGACAATTCCAGAGCTCAGAGATGAGACCATGAAAAACAGCTGAAAAAAGATCACGTGTTAGGAACACTCGGAGGAAGCTATTGTAGTTAGTTGGAATTAGTAAAGTTAAAAGTCAAACTAGAAGCAGCCCATAGCAGATTAAAGATGGCCAGAAATTCTTTAACATTCTTCTCCTTGAAAGGTGGGGTCTCATCTCCTTCCTCTTGAATCTGGGTTGGCTGGTAATCACTATCAGATGAAGACAGTGTGGCAGAAATGACTCTGCCAGCGCTGGACCTTAACTCTCAGATAACGGGCAGTTTCCACCTTAGTCTCTCCGAGTGCTAAGCTGCATGTTAGCAGTCTGACTACCCTGCTGGAGAGATCCTGAGACTACATGCAGAAGGACGGCGGCCCAGCTGAACCTTACCTTCCAGCCATCCCCTCCAAGGTAGCAGGCATGTGACCCAATAGAGCAGCCTGGACACCAGCTGAATACCACTAATTCCAGTGGATGCTGTGTGGAGCAGAGGAATCACCCAGCTAAGCCCTGCCTGAATTCCTAGCCACCAAAACAGTGCAATATAACAAAATGGTTGTTATTTTAAATCACCAGGTTTTAGGGTAGTTTGCATTCAGCAGTAGGAAACACATACACAGCCTCTGGGAAGAGTTCATAATTTTAAAAACGAAATCTCCAATTATGGAAAACTTGATATATTCTAAATTTTAGCCACCAGTTAAAAAATAGATTACAACTAAGTGTTTATGCTTCAAAATATGTAAGGAAGGGCTTCCCTGGTGGCGCAGTGGTTGAGAGTCCACCTGCCGATGCAAGGGACACGGGTTCGTGCCCCGGTCCGGGAGGATCCCACATGCCGCGGAGCGGCTGGGCCCGTGAGCCATGGCCGCTGAGCCTGCGCGTCCGGAGCCTGTGCTCCGCAACGGGAGAGGCCACAACAGTGAGAGGCCCGCGTACCGAAAAAAAAAAAAGTAAGGAAAAGGAAAGCTAGAGAGAAAAGATAGGCACCTCTTGCCTATTGACAAGGCTTCCCAAAACAAATGCCATATAATAGGTGTGTTTCTGAAAGTTGTAAGTCAACTGTATTATTGTAAATCTTTGTAACAAATATCCATAGAGTAACTACTACATGTCAGTCACTGTGTTAACCACCAAGGTCATAATAATGATCAAAATAATGATCAGAATCTTGTTTTCTGGTAGGCAACTTAATATGTAAATGTAAAGATTGGCTTAAAACAGGAGTTGGCAAACTTTTTCTGTAAAGGCCCAGACAGCAAATGTTTCAGGCTTTGCAGGCCAAGTTTGCCAAAATAGTGCAAAAGCAGCTTTAGACAATACAGAAAAATATTAGAGCAACTGAGTTCCAATAAAACCTTTTTTTTTGGGGGGGGTACACTAAAATTTCAATGTCATATAACTTTCGTGTGCCTCGAAGTATTATTCTTCTTTTGATTTTTTTTCAACCATTTGAAAATGTAAAAATAATTCTTAGCTCCCAAGCTGTACAGTAGGCAGTGGGCTGGATTTGACATTCATACCATAGCCTGCCAACCATCGGTTTTTCAATTTGATCAGATGGGCCTAAAGCAGGTAGAACTTGCAAAATAAATAAACGAAAGGTTAGTACCATCAGATGAATTTACTGTTTTGGATTGCCATGAATACAAATATCTCCTTTCTATTTCTGATTTCTTCCATGAATAAGGGCATAAGCCATCTGGAAGAGCAGGCTCAGATGATTTACCAGGGAGGAGCTCTGGGAAGCATCAAAAACCCAGACAAGAGGAGATGCTGGCCAAGGAGGCAGGAACCACAGAGCCTGAGAGGGAGGGAGCATCAGCAAAGGCAGCCTGGCGCTGTGTTAGCTTCAAGCAAGAAGCACACAAAGAGCAAAAGTGGGATTTGGACAGAGTGTGATATGTATGAAAAATCTCCCTGCTTTGCAAAATGCCCAGTGCCCGTAGGTATAGCTCCTCTTGGAACAAACTTTAGACGCCTAAAACCATATAAGTTGGAAGCACAGAATTAAATACAGAAGAGAATTTAAGAAGAAGACATGCTTCTTATTGAGTGGCTATTTCTGGGGTTTTTTCACCAGGTTGCCACCCACCTTTCCTTTAAACTTTGCCATTCCACTTTATGCTGAAATAAGCTTGCTTTGGCAAGAGACTTGCTAAAGGTTTGATGCTTTGCATATTAGTTTTGTTTTTGCTTTGTTTTTATACGAAGAGCCTTAAAAGTTATTGTAAAAATTGAAAAATCTATACAGTAGCTCTTCACAGGAAGCCTGTTGCCCACCCCACCTCCCCCAGCTAGCCCACCCTCTCTGTCCTCCAAGTATGACTGCACAGAAGAGCTAACTAACCCTGCTGGGACAGAGAATCTAACACACACACACACACACACACACACACACACACGTCTACCCTTTGTAGTTGAGAATGATGTGTATCCTGGCGTATATCCTTCCTGCCTCCTTCCAAAGCTTTCAGTGACATGAAAGTGTGTTCTCTATGCCCTGGCTGGCAGCTGTGACCTACATTTTCACATTCTGATGTTCTTTGCGGCTTCCTCTTCCCCTCATGGGGCCTATGATGCCTTCGTTCAAAAGACTCTTTCCAATAGCTGGTGGCTTCGTGTCAGGCAAGTCCCCAACTGTCTCCACCATTCTGTGTAGGCAGACACCCAAACAACAAAAATTAGGTAAGCATGCAAAACAAAACCAACCTAAAAGAGGTCTAATACGTTTTGGAGAAAAAAAAAAAATGAACCTTTTAACGATATCCAGGCAGCATTTTGCGTGATTTATATAATAGCAACTAGATGACTAATGTTTTGTAGGTTCCTTTTCACTCAGAAGGTCACATGATTCTTCTCTTGGGTACAAATAAACCACTTCCACTTGCTTAACTTATGAAAACAAAGGCCTCCAACAGTCAACAGTATCATTTTTTAAGTAGATTCTGTAACACCTCCCTCACCCTGAAAATCATGCTCTTTTTTCACTTAATGCTTTAGCTCTTATTGGCAGAACATAAATTTTTTTTTTTTGCGGTACGCGGGCCTCTCACTGCTGTGGCCTCTCCCGTTGCGGAACACAGCCTCCGGACGCGCAGGCTCAGCGGCCATGGCTCACGGGCCCAGCCACTCCGCGGCATGTGGGATCTTCCCGGACCGGGGCACGAACCCGTGTCCCCTGCATTGGCAGGTGGACTCTCAACCACTGCGCCACCAGGGAAGCCCTCCACCTTCTTAAATTGGGATTCCAACTCTATAAATGTTCCTCCCCACCCATCCCTCTATGTCTGACTTGGTGAGCAGCTTGGCTTTTCCCCTTATTAAGAGAAAAACTCTTCATACATTCCTTCTCTACAAACATTAGAAACAACACCATGAAGTCAGGGCATAGAAGGGAGTCCTCAGCCAACAAGGATCCTTCAGCCCTTCCAACTATGACACCACCTCCGCCCTCCTCACTCTGCCAACCAGCTCACAGTCTTTCCACCATCACTGCTCTTCCAGCATCTGCAGCTGTCCAGAGCAGGAGCAAGAGGCTTTCCTTTCAAGTCAAACAGTAGCCTTGGATGATCAAGCCCTATGTCCTGGAACATGACCCTTTTCCCCACTCATCTTACTCTATGAAGCCGTGGTAGGCAGAGAGAGATCTCCCCAAAATATCCATGTCCACCTCCTACTGCCTGGAACCTGTGAATACATTGGGTTACACAGCAAAGAGGAATTTAAGGCTGCAGATAGAATAAAATTTGTTAATAAATTGACCTTAGAAAGATCATCCTCCATTATCTGAATGGGCCCAACGTAAGCATAAGTGTTCTTAAAAGTAGAAAAGGAAATCAGAGGGATACAATGTGAAAACAACTCAACCTGCCAGTGCTGGCTTTGAAGATGGAGAGAGAGGGGCCATGAGCCAAGGAATGTGGGCAGCTTCTAAAAGCAGGAAAGGGCAAAGAAGAGGTTTCTCTCCCAGAGCCTCCAAAAAGGAAGACAGCTCTGCTGACACTTTAATTTTAGACCAGTGAGATCTGCATCATATTTCTGACCTACAGAGCTTAAGATTATAAATGTGTGCTGTTTCAAGCCACTAAGTTTGTGGTTATTTGTTACAGCAGCAATAGAAAACAAATACAGAAACCATTGGTACAAAGCACGTCAATGCTGCTTGGGTAGCCATCCTCCACTCATCCTAGACCCTCCCTCAGGTTGAGGCCCAGGCACACAGCTCATCCCACCTGGGCATGTGGTCCCAGCCTTCCCACTGCCCCTTTCCTGGAGGTTGACACTGGACCACATCTGCATGGCCTAATCCCTCTAGACTTGCTTCTAAAGTTCCCTTCACAATTCTAAGGATGTTTATGCAAATTACTGTACTGACTGGCCTGCAGAACATCCCTGTAGATGTGCAGAATCCACCCAATTCTTCATTCATTCATTGAAGAAACTCTTATTGTTGAGCTGAATGATCCCTAAAGACTCTAAAAGAAGTTAAGCACTCATATCAGTGCAAAGATTATAATTATTACTTCTGAGAGGGAATGTTCGAGAAAATAACTGCTTAAGTAAATGCCTTTGCTATTACTTTCATTTTCTCTCATGTTGATCTCTAGAAATCTTAAAAACTATAGATCAAAAAGCTCTAACTGGCATGCAGTTCATGGCTTTGCATTCGTAATAATTCATCTTAATATAAAAAGCCCTATGTTGAGTCGAAACATAAATGAGTTTCCCAGAGAACCAGTCCTTTACTGCTGGCCCAGGGCACTGGTGGAGACCCAGATCCTGTGTCACACTGCTCAGGTTCACAACCATCCTGAACCCGTTTCTCACAAGCTATGAAGGGACCAAGTTACTGAACTTCTTACTGCCTCGATTTCCCCGTTTGTAGAATGAGCAAAACAATAATATCTACTTTATAGGATAGTTGTACGGTTAAATAAGTTAATACATATAAGAAGCTTAGCACACTGCCTGGCATAGAGTAAATGCCACTGACCACTGTCATACTTTGTCACTCCTTCGGTTCTCTCATCATCAGGGTTTTGGATATCCCGATAACTTGTGGTCTCACCCAAAGGCCAGCCTTTTCCCAAAACATGGCTGTCCAAAAGGAAACATGATGATGTACTTATTCGCAGTGGCCATCCAAATGCAAAATCTATGCTTGGAAAACTGTGAGGTTCCTTTTGTACTGCTAAACTCTTCTTAATTAAGGTTCAAAGTAAGTTCCTCCAATGGTTTTAAAGCATAGGCCACTTGAAATTAACTCCCTTAAGCTATTCTATAAAATTCCTTAGAGTAATTCTTTAAAGTATGGAAGTCGGGCCATCAGGTGTTTGTTAAAATTAAATTCCTGGGCCTCACTTAAGATTTAATGAATTGAAATGGAGGTCCATAAATCTGAATATTAATGAACATGTTATATACTACGTAATTCTTATGCATACAGAGTTTAAGAAACATTGCCTTAGCACATTTTTAATTAAGAACCTACTCACTTTATTATGTTCAATAATTCAGCAGGTAAAAACAACTATGAAGAAGGGCCAGCCTTAGCTGACTGGTACATCATTCTCTTACAAGGTTCTCTTAAAATAAATCACTCATCTGCTTTCTCAAGAAAGAGAAATACAAAAGCCTGACATACTGAAGAAAGTGACTCATTAACAGAGAAAAGCATTGTTATTTCATAGCTCAGACACCACTGAGATGAATGAATCTTAAAATTCAGTCTTAGCAACACAATTACATGTGGTTTTCACAGTAAATATTCCATTATTAGAATCTAGATTCTAATATTAGAGTGTCTGAAACATACTCACATGTAATAATAATATTGAAAATTCTAGCTGTAGCTGAATGCATTCCTTATTAATTTTCCTTCAACATGTGATATAATTAACTAGCAATCTTCAGCTCTAAAAATAAAAAGAACATTGCCTCAGCATGTTTATTGTGAAATAAAGGGTTACGTGTCAAAAATGTTCTAGGAATACAAGGACTGACATCATCTACAGCTTGGTGATAGGTTTTTCTTACATATCTCCAAAGAAGGAAAAGAAAACCCATGATTTGGTAAGCAATGCCAATATTTCTTAATTTTTTTTTCATTTTTATTGGTTTTGTTTTGTTTTGTTTTTATTGTGGTAGATTAATGTTCAACCCCAAATACTTAAGGTAAATAGTTTTGGGCACATATGTCTTCATGTGGCTGTCTCTAATTTTTCAAAGTATGAACAGTAGCCCAGCTGCATCAGAATCTTCTGTTTTCCTTCTTTCAAATGTAGATGTCCAAACCATACCTCTAGTCTCTGAGGTTAGGGCCAAGAAACCTGCATTTGTAATAAGCTTCCCAGGTGATTCCTACACCCGTTACATTTTCAGAACCACTTCTTTGAGAACATATAACAAAATTTAAACTTAATGATGTATCTTTTTTCCTTATTTTTGAAGTACTTTAAAATTATCTTAATGGTGAACTCAGTAAACAAAAATCCAGAAAATTCACTCATGAGATATCCCATTTCACAAGAAATCAAGTCTAAGACTGTAATAAGAATCAATAAATGTTTTCCAAACAAATGAGTAAAATTAATTATTAATACATGAGGAAATAAAATTGAGACAATCACCTGAAGAATTTTTGACTTCACCAGTATCAGAACAAGGAGTCATTAAAGCTGTATCATCTCTATTAAACTTGTACTCACAGGCCAAACTAACATATAATAATATTTAAACCTATGTATTCCACTGATAGTCTTCATTTTTTTTCACTTATCAAGGGGGGGAAATAAAAGCCTATTATGTGTTGACCAGAAACATGAATAAAATGTAAACCAAACCAACAAAGTTTTGCAATGTGTTATTGTTGTTGTTGTCCTTTATTTTTTTATGAGAGAATAAATGATTTTAATATTATGAAACTATAAGAAACAACCTATTTATTAAACCATCAAATCTTGTAAAATGTGACCAACAAAAAGCAGTATTTAGAAACTAAAGTTTAATATATCTTTTTTTTTTTTAACATCTTTCCTGGAGTAAAATTGCTTTACAATGGTGTGTTACCTTCTGCTGTATCACAAAGTGAATCAGCTATATGGATACACATATCCCCAAATCCCCTCCCTCTTGCATCTCCCTCCCATGCTCCCTATCCCAACCCTCTCGGTGGTCACAAACTACCGAGCTGATCTCACTGTGCTAAGCGGCTGCTTCCCACTAGCTATCTATTTTACATTTGGTAGTGTATATATGTCCATGCCACTCTCTCACTTCGTCCCAGCTTACCACCCCGCCTTCCCGTGTCCTCAAGTCCATTCTCTATAACTGCATCTTTATTCCTGTCCTGCCCCTAGGTTCTTCAGAACCATTTTCTTTCTTATATTCCATATATATGTGTTAGCATATGGTATTTGTTTTTCTCTTTCTGACTTACTTCACTCTGTATGACAGACTCTAGGTCCATCCACCTCACTACAAATAACACAATTTTGTTTCTTTTTATGGCTGAGCAATATTCCATTATATATATGTGCCACCACTTCTTTATCCATTCATCTGTTGAGGGACACTTATCCTGGTCACTGTAAATAGAGCTGCAATGAACATTGTGCTACATGACT